GCTGAAATTTTAAGGGGGTGTTTCCTGCCAGTTTTGGCGGTCAGTCTTAATTTGTTTAGCTAGAAGAATTTGCCAAAGAACTGATGCCGGTAGCGATAAAAACTGGGGGGAACTATGCAAAAAACGCATTTTCGCACGGGCAGCCCGTGCGTTGGCCAATTATTTGGAAATGCTATCTTGATTAGCGATGCACACTAAACCCCTGTCACGGTTGTGCATTATGCATGAGCTGTGATGGGATTCAATTGGAAATCCAGCGAGTATACAGTCGCTGAGGCGAACTTTGACTGGGTGCTTATAAAGAACCTATTTTCGGATTTCTAGTTTGCTTTTTCTACGACTCATATTTATGCTTACAGTTATACATCAAGAAGCAGCAGCGCTCAGGTGTTTTTTAGCCATTCAATTACCTAACGAAAACAGTTGAAGTCCTAGGATTTCAAGATTTAAGTCGCTTCGTTTGAAATTTGTAAGTTAGCCTCAGTTCTGGCTTGAAGTTATAAGGATACAGTGAGGTCTGGGGTTGTTCACAAACTGTTAATTTATGGCTGTTCAAGCAGTATTCTCGTTATCTTTAATGTTTTATGAAGCTCTCTCATATTGATCGTGAATCATTCTTCATCTGTAGTGCAAGAACTGCACGGGGGATAAATTCTTAACGACAACAACGTGAACGAGCTGCCAGTTAGTACCATATGATTCCAAAAGAAAACAGGATAGAAATGCACCAGAATGTGCTAAAGGTAAGAGTAAGGAGCGGAATCGACTTACTGAATATAGATTCTTAGGCAGCACTATGTGGTACTTTTCCCCGGTGCAGGAGACCACGGTCGCTTGCTTTGTGCGAGAATATTGTTTCAGTTATTGCGTTAGAGGCACTAAAGTAATGGGTTAAAAGAACTTGTTGAGGACTTTTGTTTCCTGACTCCAGCAACTGGATTTGAGGATCTTTGCAGCTGTGAAGGCATCATTACTGGATAAAAAAAGAAACATGTATTACTGCCTTCTCTGCAGACATTTTAGATGGAATCTTGAAGTCCCATGCTAGCGGCA